ACAAGGATCTACAGACTTTTCATAAAGACCCAGACAGCAAATATTTTAGGCTTTGCTTTTATTATATTTTCTTGTTTTGCTTGCTTGCTATTCTTTTTGTTTTGGTTTTGGTTTTTTACAATACTCTAAAAGTGTAAAAACTCTTTCTTAACTCTGCAGCTGTACAAAAACAGGCTTCAGGCTAGATTTGGCCCTCAATCTATAGTTTGCCAACCCATTGTGTAATACGTGGCAGCTTCCTCACTTTATTCACTTTCAAAATACCCTGGATCCAAACACTGGATTTCACTACAAAGTGGAAGGCAGGCTGAAACTAGGCAAGACTTTACTGGCAATACCTAAGTTAGGGTAGCCATTTTTCTCACTCTAACCATACCCTGATCAGTTCTCACAATAATGAGATCTTGAAAGACTGAGTCATGCAATGAGATGAATACTCTAATGTCATTTGAGCAGTGGCATACTTTAGTATGTTCAGCACATTCTGTCTATGTAAGTCAAGCTATATAGTAATAGCAATAGATAAAATATATATAGCATCTATTAGGCAATTGATATCTTAAGCACTTTACATATATTAACTTATTAAACATTCATAAAAGCTACTTGAAGTGGATTATTTTTAACTGCATTTTACTGATGAGAAAACTGAGACAGAAGAGTTAGGTAATTAGCTCAAAGTCTTATAGCCAGAAAGTAGCAGAGCCAGGGGTCAAACCAGGCAGTCTGGTTCCAGAGTAAGTATTCTAATTCACTGCACTATACTGCTTCTCTAAACTTTTAGGGAAATCTCATCATTAGGACTGAGAACTATAGGCCAGCCTTACTAACAAAAGCTGGTTTTGCCAAAGAGAATCTTCCTATTATCTGAATAAACGACTTCATTTATTGAACAGGAGCTTTTGTTATCTGACAGGATTCTCAGAACTCTAGGGTAAGAATGCTGCAGAAAGAAAGAGAAAGTGAAAGGGAAGAGAATCGAAGAACTGTAGTCCCTGGCAAATCTGAACCAGGAGCTTTTTGCTAAGCAATAGAATTGATTGCACTACAGAGATACAGAAAGCCAGGTCATAAACTTGCTTCGTCAGCATGGAATCCGAATACAGGGAGTTATATGTATCAGCTGTTTAATAGCACCAGGCTGTTACATCCATCTTACAATAGAGATTGTCTTGTTAGTTGGAAATACTCAAAAATCCATTGGTTAAAACCCCCTACTCCCATCTCTATGGCAAGGAAAGCCTAGATGATTTGAAATACTCCAGCTTTTGAAGCACACCCTTCCACCTCAAAAATGAATGGAGAGGCAATGGCAACTTTTACATTTACTGTGTAGTTTCTTTTTCTTTTCTTTATTGCCTGATTAACATATCGCCTTTCTGATTGACACATTCTATCTTTAGATAGTTAACATATTCCTCCTATGACTTTCAAGTTTTGTTGGCTTAAGAGTATTTCTGTCTTTTGTGACTTTGCATAACTATATTTCATTCCCAATTCCAAGTTATTGGATAAAACACCACTTCACCTACCATGTGCTAATTACATATCTGAGTACCAGAGTGCCATGTGTCCTTATTAGCTATAGAAGATATATATGACTACATCATAGATTTTCCACATATAATTTTAAAATGAGTACCCCAATGTACATAAATTAAATTTATATTTCCATCTCAGAGGTTTAGTGACAGTGACAAAGCCCTTCAGCCTCTACAAGCATAACTCCTTGTTCTATTTGGAGATCTAAGCACTTTGTAACATTTGCCCTTTATTTGTCACTAGCCAGCCCTGATGGAACTACCCTTTTCACATTTTCCCTCAGAAGCCCAAGTACCACGATCGTACCCTAGGAAATGGAGACAATTCTATAATCTCTAAGTATGATTTCCTAATTTCCCAGGTCAGGAGAAAATTTCTTCCTGTTGTCCTGCTGTGCTTTGTCACAGCAGGTCTGCTTTTTCATTTGGAACCCTCTTTGTCACTGCCATAGTAACAAATGGAAACATTGAGAACATTTTGTGACAGGCACTGTCATTGTTCCCAGTGAAATCTCTTCCCTTGTGTCTTCTCAGTAAATGAAACTGAGGAGAAAAATCATAACAAATAACTTGAAAGGAGATCTAATCAATATGTTCCCAGTAGGCTGTCAATACCAGCCTGTGTTAATCTAATATGATTTAGTCTTATGTTTTATGGCAGCTGTAGGAATATGGACTAGACCTACAAATCATCTTTAGACTAAAAGTGAGTACACCTTTGACAGATTATACCCAGGTACATAGATATAACTCAGATAAAAGACTAGAGACCTTACCAAGGACCAACATTTTTAGGATTTAAAAAGCTTCATTAAATGTGGTTAAGAGCCATACATAGCTTAGAACAGTTTATTTTGAATACTAGTAAAGTAACTGTGCTGCCTTTAATACTTTTTATTTTCAAATTTCTCATTACAACTTTAGCAGGGAAAATGTATTACCCTAAATGATATTACCTACATATGCAAAGGACTCTTAAAGCCACTTGGCAATCACAGTGTAAATAATTGTTCTGTTTCCCATCTAATAAAAAGGAACATTAATTTCACTTTCTAATTCATGTTCAGAAAAGAATTTTGGTTAAAAAGAAAAGGAAAAAAGATTTAAGTTTCCAGAACAGAGGCATTACTTCCTTTTCATGTAGCGCCTGTCTATACCTCTCTAAATTATTGGAGAGTCTCTAAATTGTCATCGTATTTTCTGTTCTCACCTTGTTCGTTTTGTTCCCAAACATTGTAGCTTACTCTCTCATTCTTTTCTTTTTAAGCAGGAAAGTGCAAAATTTATTAAACTGAAAGTACACACTCAGTGGGGTTGGGGGGAGTGCAGGCTTACTCAAGAGAAAGAGAGCGAGCCCCCATTCTTCTTAATTGCTGCTTCATTGTGCTGTGCAGAGAAGTGGTGCAGAATTCTCACAATTTTTTTTTTTCTGCACCACCTCTTGCCTTTGCTGCCCAGCTCAGAAGACTAAAAAATAACTTGATGAATTTTAAATATATCATTTCTCACACTTCTTCCCTCAAAAACCAAAATCTTCATATGACCCACTGTATGCAGAGGATTTTCTTGCTGATGACCAAGATAAGCACTGCTACCCTTCCCCACAGCAACAATACCTTTCATCTTTTAACTCTTAAGAGGACATCTTGGTGTTTTATTTCTTAAGCAGCAATTTTCCTTAAAACCATCAAATGATGCATGGAATAATTTGGTCATTAGGAATATGAAATTCACCAAAGACAGCAGCTCAGGT